GAGTATTTTGCTTAGTTGGAATTTATCTAAAGCCAACGTAATTCCTAGATCTGACATATAGGTATTCTCGAAAACCTACGCAAAACGAATTTAAAATAATTTTTTTTAATAGCTAGGCCGCTAAAAACAAGATAAAGCACTACTATAACAGTGATTAAAACTAATTTTCTTTTGACAAGAGCAACTAACTTCCAAACTGTTGAAAATGAATACTGGAAGATCGGCCAAGTGTAGTAAGTAGGTAAGGAAATATTGTGATATTGTAGATTAAAGATGACTGAATATTCGGAATTCTATAGCGCAGTGGTAAGCTTGGGTTCTGCGCGGCGTTGTAGATGTCCTCTTTGGTGAAGGAAGTGGACAAATGAGCAGGAACATTGGCACCACAGATTTTATTCGCCTCTTTATTGAGGAATGAAGTCAAAAATGCAGTGTCAATTGTTGCCTGAGAAAAAAATAAAATTAAATATGAGCAAAGTAAATCTGTATTAGCGAATACTAAAAAATACGAAGTACAACTCAAACTGGTCAATATTTGCCATGTATAGACTATGGATGATAAGCTTAGTCAACTTGTGTAAATAAAAAAAGCTAAGAAGAAATGATAAAACAAAATCTAACATGAAAATTGCTAGTTGAACCCTTCCATGCTATTATGAATTTGGTTTTACATTATAGATCACAGATACACAGAAAACGATGGTGAGAAGTTTGATTTGGTCTTAGTCTTCCTTCGTTCTATGTATCGGGGTTTCTGGAAGAATGTAAATAATATAGCCAATTTTGAGGCTTCAGAAATAGGAATCACGATAATATCCAGCATCGGACCATTGACCTGGTAAGTGCCCAGAAATCTCCCCAGCATCATAGCCTGCACTGTCAATAAAAAGCGTCATCCTCAACACGGGTGGCCGGGATCAGGAGAAAATAATTACCCGGTTAAATAAAGAACACAAAACAGGCGATTTGAATTAAGAACCCCTACGGGTTGTGAAACTGGTGGTAAAGATGTTTACGCCTCAATAAACCAACTTGAAGGGAGAATGGGATAGACAAAAAAACAGGCTATATGAAGTGGGACTAGGGAGATGCCGTCAAGGCGGAACAGAAAATTGTTCATAAGGAAATAATGTCAAAGCTCGCCGACAATGTCGACTACGATGCTGGAAAAATAAATAATTACTATGGCAACGGATGCATTAAAACTACCTTCTTCTAGGTCGCGCCGACAGTACGATTAGTTTGTAAAAACGAGACCGAACCAACTGCAGACATAAGCCTCATAGACAGTTCAACAAGAAAGCCATACATTTTCGCTAATGCTGCCGGATGTCGATTTGAAACGGGAATAAAGTTTACGGCCATGGATTGTTCTGGCTAGCACAGATTCGATAGCTAAAAACGACAAGTCTTTATATCGTGACCGATTGAGATACAAGAGTGGCTGGAGGAGACGAGTCAGATATGAACCCGTAACAGAGGAGCCTTTCGACCTTCCCTTCGTCTATGGCTCTTACTGCAGCCGGGTTCTATTGAGCTGTACCATTGAGCACGATTTCCTGTTACAAAGCATCCCTCAGACAACTGAGTTTCGGTGAATCTCCTAACATAATATGGTTGGGAAAACCTTCAATTCGTGTGAAAGTGCATGATGAAGGGATTCAAAGGCCGATTTCATCAGAAGACGACGACTGATTCCTGTTGTAGTGCGACCGTTTGGCCTTAATATGACGTTCAGGATGACGCAGTATGACGCAGTATGAGAGGCATCCCTTCTCGTTTAGGATTAAACCGGGATGAGCTTTTATTCATCATATGATGGACGTCGTCAGAGCTGGAACTCATTTTTGTAAAAGTCTAACTAGGTCAAGAAGACTGTCCTGCTCTATGCTACCTCAAATATACTCATAAATAAAAAGCAAAAAATATCTAAACCTGCGTTGCTTACAGACTTACGCCGTCTCGGCCAAGGCTTCTTTCTTGGGTCATTAAGCCTTGATGACTAGAGCCTGACATTAGACTCTTTTGAGTCCACTTGCTACCAAGTCCACGGTCTGACACTGGAACTTGTCATAATTACTATGGCACCCATAATCTTAGTCTTTATACATTCGTGTAAACTCTCTACATGTCTCTTTCTGGCACCTGAATATTTTGGTGGCTACAGCTATGTGTCAGTGGCAATGTATAAAAGTAAATAAAAAGCACACTTCAAATATTTCAATAAAATCCAACCAAATGCTGTCTATGATAATAATAGAAATACAGTTAGGCTAAAATGATACTCTGAATAAGGAGAGAGAGGACCAAGCATCATTAGGCAGTCAGCAATAAATAGTATTCATTTGTGGAACATTCGCCTGGCGAGATAAGGTATTTTGAAGAAACGAAATAATGCGTAGGGCTTTCTATATACATACATACATACATACATTCATACATACATACATACATACATACATACATTCATACATACATACAT